GTGGTCGGAAAATAGGACAATGATTTTGTGTGCGCCAGCACTTATCGTAAGCTATGGTTGGATTGGACCTTGCGCCAACGGCTGAATGCTGACGCAGTGCAAGGCGAGCGTTACTCGTTAGTTTAGTTAGTCGTTCATCGTTGTCATTCCGTGGCGCGCGTCGGATTATGTGGTCGAATAGTTTATTGTTGTTGTTGTTGAGACGAGCATCACGTGCGGCTTGAAAAATATCTTACATTCGCAATTCGCAAAATAAATGACTAGCGATACTCCTTTGTATTAACTTTACGAAATTAAAATATTTTGGAATCTTCCTTGCAGAAGTGAGTGTTATTTTTTTAATATTTTGTGAGTTGCAGGTATTTTATCTAAGCGGTTAATTTCTCACATTAAAATGACTTTTGTCTAATGTTTTTGTGAAGTTTCATACTTTGGAAACAATTTGGAATAATTATAACAGCTTTTGTTATGTATTCGACATTTAAAATTTATTATTTATTTTATGTTTTTAACTCAGGAATTTGATAGTCAAATGTTAAATTTCTCTAGAAGTGTGATTTCAATTAGTTTCTTTATATTGTAACTTTAATTCGTAATCCACAGTGTCATCCAACTGTCATGATGTCATCGAGACAACAGTAGACCTTTGTTAAAAATATTGTTTGGGATTTTAAATAATTCGTTGTCCACGATTACTGTCGCGGATAAAATAATTAATATTTTTCAGTATAACAATAGAAAAACCAGATTATAACGCGGTAAGAATGGGCGTATATATCTTTATTTATAGGTATTAGTTAGAATTTATTTCAAATTCATTAATTTCACCGCTAAAATTAATAACAGTACTTCTAAGTATTAATGTAGATATTTTGTTGAGGCGGTATAACAAAAATGGGTTATCGGAAGTATTCATTGACAAGGATTGAAGACGTTGCCTTGATAACCCAGTGCTTATATTCAACAGTCGCTCGGATTTTCGGCACTAAATTTTGAGGACCAATATAAAAGGAGTTCTTGGCAGGAATTGGGTATAGACTCCCATTGCTTATCGTTAAAAATGCTTCTTGCTTAATAATACTTTAAAATCTCATTTTCATTAATCTTTTAAGATATCTTTAGTTCGGTCATAATTATGTTCTGAATGTATGGAGAAATTTCTGCAAGAAAGTTTTTACGAATTAATGTTTTATTTTATTTGCATCATTTAAATAAAAAAAAATATCCAAGAATTTTGTGCGCAAATTTACCCGTTCAGCGCCTAAAGACCACCTTTGGACCAAATTAAAATAAGTATTATGCAATGTCATATAAATATAAAAGTCCTCGTTAATATTATTTTAAGTTATATCACCATATTTGCAGCGACTACCTGTAACAACTTGAAGGCATTTCACCATTCGTTCTTATTTTGGGCGCGAAGTAAAGGAACCAAGTCGCAATATTTTTCATACTACTTTTCTGCTAGACTTTTTAGGGTTCCGAACCAAAGGATAAAACGTCTGTCTGTCCATCTGCATCAGATTGTATCTCATGAACCGTGATAGTTAGACAATTGAAATTTTCACACATGATGTATTTCTGTTTCCGTAACAACAAAAAATACTAAAAAATAGATTAAAAAAATAATTCAGTGGGGCTCCCATACAAGAGAGATGATTTTTTTTTTGCAGTTTTAATAGAAAATTGTACGCGAGTCGATCCGCACTTGGCCGGTTTTTTGTCTTGACGCGAAGAGCGTAATAATCTATCTATAATTTGAGATTTTTTATAATTTAAGATTACGTTATTAACAGACGTTCCCTCTTCTATACTATTACATGTAGATGAGGTCTTATCTACTATATCAGAGTATCTACGAAATTTATACTAAAGAAAAAAAAACTTAAGATTTGTTACATATTGTTATTTAAGAAAGAAAGGAGCTTAAAATAATACCTGTGTGTAGATATAATTCTTACAATATTCATTTAGGCAACAGTATCTACATGTACATTTACTGTTCGCGGTCTTGTTGATCCTTTGACATAAGGTCATGTGTCTTGCACGATCTAAGAAAGTCTCATTTGTTGTTGGAGCGATAGAACTTAATTATTTATAATGCTCTCGAACGTGAACTATACACAAACGAGTTAATAGTTGAATTATGATTGAATTAACTTATTAATTTTATCTAAAAATGTTTTTGTTCGCATTAATTATTGAGAAAGAGAAAACTCCAAAACATAATTATAGTTTACAACACAATACAATACTATTCCATTTGAAACTTGAACTTGAAACATTATTGGGTGAAACATTATACTGTTGCGTTTATTTCCATCACAATGTATTCAGCAGTAATTTCGCCGATTGTTGTAAAGCTATTTTATTGTGCATATAATTTTTTTTGAATATCTTTATTTAAACGTAATGACTGAAGGTTTTTTATCTGGCATAAAAGCCCACGTTGATGATGACACAAAAAAACAGATGGCATAAAAATTCATAAATAGTCATAAGTAGTCACAGTAATTACAGGTAAAAAAAAAGGAACCCTTATAAAATCACTCTCTTTACTGTCTGTCTGTCCGTGTGTCACCTGTCCAGTCGTTCCTGAGAAAATCGGTGGTGATTATTTACTAATTTTATTATGGCGGTATAATGGGTATGTACGGGAACCTAGGCGTACGAGTAGGACTCGCACTCGCACGACTGTTTTTCTTAAGTTAAATTACTTAAAATAATAAACTTTGATTATAAACATATTTTTAATTTATCTCAAATAATTAGCATCTTTTAATATAACAGTTGAAATTGAAGTCGATATTGTATTCAAACAAATATATTTTCTTTTGTTTTTCAATGTTCATTAAGTATATCTTATATCATTCGTACATAAGGCGAAGGTGAGATGTTCCATTAAATCTTTGACAGAGTTTCACGGGTTCGAAGGCTGTTGCGCCAGTGACTTTTTTAGTAATCGAATCCCAAAATGTGCAAAAATCACTCACACGTTTGCTCACGTCAGCTCAGTGTGTAGAAATGTGAAAAAATGAGTGTATTCAGCAATAACTTCTAATATCGTTAAACGAACTTATGATGTTTTTATTTTACTCAAATCAACGTGTTATCTAAAATAATGTACTTTTTAATCTCTGTTCAAACAAGAATTCACACAAATATAGGTTCGATAATTTTTCCTTATTAGAATTTCTAAATTATTATCTTATGCTGATTTAGATAACATATTTTCGAGTGTGGTCTATGTATGTATATATAACATTGAACTATTGTATAGCATAACTTCGTCTTCAGTATTGGAACGATTAAAAAACTAATTGTCAACTAAATATTATGAATGCTCATATCATTATCATCCCTATTTTTATTCTTATCCTTACTTCTTACTAATATTATAAACGCGAAAGTTTGTATGTATGGCCATCATCCATACATACAAACTTTCGCGTTTGTTACTCTTTCTCGCAAAAACTACTGAATGGATTTTAATGAAACTACAATAATATAGCTTATACATCAGAATAACACATAGGCTATAATTGATATACACATTTCATGTAAATCTGTCTTTCTGTCTGAATGTTACGCCTTCAGACTATGCTACGCAGACGTAGGTAGTCGCGGGCAGCAGCTAGTATAAAAATTAATGTGAATGTAAGTTTGTTTGTTACGATTTCACGCCAAAACTACTCAACCGATTATCATGAAATTTAGTACACATATTTTTAGAGGTAATAAAAAGGACATAGGATTCTTAGAATTTAAAGAAATATATTTATTTTAGGGCTTCAACGCGAGCGAAGCCGTGAGAAAAAGCTTGTATTAAATAAAACAGTGTGGATAAAATACAATGAGATTTTCGTCCATGTGGCATCCGGCTGTTTAGCTTAGTGGTTGAGGCGCCTGGGCGCGATATTTGGAAGACAAGTTTTCGTAAATTTTCCTAAAAAAATGTTTCATCTTAAGTGTAGTGATAAGCACTATAAAAATTTAAAATTCTTACAGCAATGGCGACATCTCGTTCGAATAATTGTTGTAAAACGATATTCGAAATTGTTTGTATGCTTTAAATAATAGATGCGCCAAGCAATGCTATTAAAGAATTTTAGTGTCCAAAATTTATTATAAAACAAAAATAAAAAAACAAATCTTTTACAATTTAAGTACTTAAAACAACAACTTTAAGCAACAATTCGCTCAACAAATTAATTATACGCATATTTAATTAGTCATTAATATTTCATGCTGTAAAAATAGAATGTTGTTTTCGAATAGAATATGTCTTACATCATAGTGTAATTCAAAGTAATTACCTAATACAATTGTTGTCAAAAACATGGCCTTTTTAGCACTAATATTTATAACTGCATAGACTCATACCAATAAAATAATTTAATAGATTAAAAGCTTTTTGCTTTTTTTTCCGACAAGCATGATATTATTGCTTATATTGTATAGCTTATACCTTATGTCCGTATTATACTTTTTAAAAATCACATTATATCCAGAAAGCAATCGTGGCGATCAGTGAAAGTCTTGCTCCAACAGTCTCCACATCTATACTTTCTACAAGCAAGCATACAAAAGCGAATGTCTTAATACGTAATAACTTTTCATCTTAACAGTTTTATTTTTACTCGTCTCAGGTTAATCTTTTTAATTATTTTCACGCCTTGAATTCCAATATTGATGCGATCAAATGTGTGTCATAGTAAAACCAATTTTATATTCTTTTTTTTAAACTTTGTTATCACGATGAGGGGGCAAAATCGTTTAAGATTATAGCACTTTTTTTAAATAAAGAGAAAAAAGATTTACTTAACTTAATTATCGATATAAGTTATAGTTTAAAACTTATATAATAACAATGGCTAATAATGTTTGGAACGCATTGTTTTATGCATGTTTTTAACGTAACATTATTTTATTATTTTATCTTTTTACTGTATTAAAAATATATGATGTACCCAAACCGTTAATGTTTTGTTGACAGAATAATGGCGGCCTTCAATGTTGTGCTGGGTTGTGTGATGGGCGTGCTTATAATATTGTTTTCAATCAGTTCGATTGCTAGATATTATATAAAGGTGAGTGTGACTGTAAGCTTTTATTAAAAAAAAAAACAGGCGGCAGTCAATTGAGACTGCTTAGTGATCTTTATACAACGGAACATTTAAAAACTGATATGAAGTTAAATAATTTAGATAAAACTGTTAATTAATTTGTTCTGCCTCGAATGTACCAAAGCTATTTCTTGTTCTTATTATTCTGAGTTGTGTTGTAAATTAATGAATATGTTTTCTAGAAGGATAAAATAACGTCATGTGAGAAGTATGCATGTAATTTTATAGTACAAAACAACAAAATATTATTAAGTATTTCAAAAATTGTCTTTCTTTGCAGTTCACATTGTTCGTTGTGCTGTCGCTAATTTTCGCGACACTTCCGATTCTGCTTATGTTATACAGGCCGTTTGATCCGAGAAATGCTTTGTGAGTTTTTTTTAATATTTATTTTTCTTTAGTTTTTGAAATTAGTTTCCCAAAATTAATAATCATACCTCCAAGTTCCTTGGTGTGACAAATAATTGGGATGCCAATTAATTGGCTTGCTTTTTTAACCGACTTCAAAAAAGAAGGAGGTTTCTCAATCCGACCGTATACAGCGTGTCTTTACCATGGCGACAATAAATGAACACACGTCTAACGCTACTTGCCAATAATCATAAAAAAATATAAACGTTAAAAAAATCATAATTAAAAAAAATTGTTTTCAAACAAAGTAATTAAGTAAAAAATTGTAACACCTATACAACTACAACTGACTGATTCATACATTCAGAGACTTTTTCATTTGTTGCCACAGCGTCGCATTACAAGCCTCTCCTTCTAACAGTATGTTTTGTCTCTTTTAAATTCATTCAACCCATTCATATGCTTTGTAACCTTTACAAATGAACTTTACGTTACAGTTTTATACTTAAGGGATACTTAAGGGTGTTCTAAAATTGTTTGTTTTGCAAAATTTAATAACTCTGTAAATATTGATGTTTAAAGAATCTAAATTTTTGATAAAATTTTAAAAAGTTATCCTCTATATGTGTTCATTTTTGTCCCGTCGGTAACGACACGCTGTATATTTTTATTTTTTTGTATGTGCGTGTGTTTTGAGTGTTCGCGGATAAATTCGTCGTTTATCAGCCGATTTTGATGATTCTTTTTTTGTTGGAAAGGAGATATCCCAAGGGGTGTTGTACCATGATAAGGAAACCCGGATCTGATGATGGCATCCCAGAGAAATCGTGGGCAATCCTCAAATGTTATAGGTTTTAACAATATCTTTAGTCTCCGGTTTGAAGTCGGTTTTCTTTTTGTTAAAAATTATTATCATAAAGGTCCTTGGAGCCAAAGTCATGTTATGAAAATATAAAGAAATTAGAACACAAATAGCTAGGTATCAATAAAGTGATGTAATAAGTGGTTCAGAGAATTTATTACTAGTACAAATAATTGGTGATAAAGAAACAGATTTCTAAATAACTATTTTATATTTTAATTATTACTTGCGACTGTCTGTTCGTTAAGTAAAATATTTACTTGCCTACTGATCGATGTAAAAGTAAAGTAATATAGCCTATATATGTCCCACTGCTATGCAAAGGCCGCTTCTGTACAGAGGGTATCAGAGCGTAGTCCACCACGCAGCCCTAATCCGGGTTTGTGGACTTCACATATCTTGAAAATATTTTTTTTGTTATTGTTTCGAAAACATGCAGGTTTCCTCAAGTTGTTTTCCTCCACCGCTGAGCACGTGATAAAACAGCACTTAAAATAAACAATTTTATTTGTGCCGACGTCGGGGAGCGAAATCAGGTTGCTCGAGTATGTATATTGAATTAAAGGCGAGCGCCCACTAATCTATGTATTATGTAAAAATTTAATTTGCATAATTTTGAGTAACTTTAGAGGGATTTCCATTCAATTAAAATGTATATTTAAATTTTACTCTTAGCCTTTATTGTTGTATATTTGTTCATAAAATTAATTTGAAAACATCAAAAATAATATTTCATACTTTATAATGAGCATATCTATGCAAGAATTAAGTATAATGTATACCGGTCATGCTAAAGACTGATTTTAATTAGCCATCAAAACACATTCAAGTTTTGTTTAACAATGACACGTTAGTAATAATGACCAAAGAATAGCAGACTAGGTTTATTTCCATATTATATTATATGCTGTTTTCCTAGTAAACAATGTTTTTGTATTCCACTTACAATACATTTCAAGAATATTAAACATTTTCTTGCACTAAGTGACATATCTATTTAGTCTTCGAGACTATGTTAAATTGCCTAATTAATACAAATAATACAATAGTAAGACATGTTTTTTTTTTCTTATTTAAATTAAATGAGTGGTATGGGGCTTGCACTTTTGGATTACCCAAACTGTTTGGAAAATATATTCGTTTAAAATAGGAGAGTTATAAAAGGTATTTTCAGTAATGTCATCTGTATTTTCATAAAATTAGTTTAAAAACTTAACAAAATACTCAAAACAAGTTTTTTGTTCATCAATAGAAATTATCTATTCCCATACATTTTAATCTTATTTATAGATTTTATAGTGCAACTATACAACCCACCACGGTTAGTCAGGGAAAGTATTAATCGAAAAAAAATTGTTCTTTCGAAACTATCAAACTTCACATGGGCAACCGCGGAGCTAATTTGAAGATTCTTTAAAAATTTTGTTAAAATCAATCCAACGGCTTGTACTTCATAGGAAACGTGCATATTTGTTTCCTCTGAAGTTAACTAATATATTTCTAGATATATCCTACTCTTCAATATGATGTGTGTGTGGATTTCAATATAAAATAAACCATAATGATCACTCGAATATATGTATAACCTAAAAGTTAACATTGAAGAAGTGTTAATCCGTGTATAAATTTACAAATAGTATATCAAGATTGTTAAAGAGTACTTATACATTTTATCAAACTAAAATATTTTTTTATTATTTATTTTTTATCGTATTCATTTACCTACGTCACGGTCCTTGAAATCGGTTGGTTACAAAAATATTTAAATAATTATGTTTACAATATTTTTTTTACATAGAGGACGTATGTATAAAGAAAAGGCCAGAAATTTTCACAGAACCGTTCACAGAACTATTTTCCCCAAACTGGATGGACTGGTTTATGAACGTATAGAGGACAAACTTACAAACATTCGTTGTTAACTGTAACCTGTAAAATGTGTTAATCAGTTTAATTCAGAAACATGTATGTACATAGGATACCAGCAGCACTTTTGAAATACTCGTCGAGACTTCTGGGGATTCGGTGGACAGTCCGAGGCCTTGAAAATGTTGACGACTCACAAGGCGCCGTCGTCCTACTCAATCATCAGAGCAGCATCGATCTAATCGGTGAATATTATTAAGTTATCTAAATAGTTATGAATAGGTTGTAATACAAACAGACTGTGAAAAAAAAAACATTTCAAATTACTAGGCATTGTTTTTATAAAATAAGAGAATAAACAATAACGCTTCATATACATATTGATTTCTTGTTTTACGCGTATTTAAAATACTTAATAATATCCAGTTCATAACGAAGTCCAATACGATAAAATCCATAAATTAATTATAATTTTGTATTAAAAAAAACCTAACTTACTATTACTAAACCTACTTAAATTGTCAGCACCATCGCACTGATAACAACATTCGTCATGACATGATCACGAGTGACTTATGTATAACAAGTTATAATCGCATCTGACGTCGTTCCCGTTTATGCATAGAAAGCATTTCCAGGAGGGCTTTTATAATGTGTAACATTTACCACCTTGCTCAACAGTACTCCTTACTGTTGAGCAAAATTGGTGTTTTTAAACGCATTTACTATTAATTAGTCAACAAATACAATGTTAGCGCACCTGCTTTATTCCTTATAATGTTTTGATATATGCATTTAAATTCATATTTTTTATATCAAATTTATATGAATGATCTACGTAGAACTATTGCGCCAATCTTTAATTTCCCATTGATTACTGCGTCCTAAAAGCGGTGTGTAAAAGTTATGTTAAACCGGTCTTTTCCCAGAATTATGCGTTCCCCACTTTCTTGTTTTTAAGTGCGTTGACCTTTTTTGTTTGTCGATCTTAATAAGGACATGGAAAGTTTGTTACGCAGTAGAAGTTGTTACATAATTAATGAGAGATTAGCCAATCAAAACCTTTATTTATTTTAAAATTTGATATAAGTACAAAGTACGCATAAATTTTCGGAATATTCAGCAACTTATAATAAAAATATTATATATATATATATATATATATATTACCAAATGTTTGCAGTGCAAGTCATCAACGTTTCGATATCAGAGCTAGATAAAGAGAGTTATTAAATGATAACACCAAACCCTTCGTATAAACTGGGTCCACTGATATAAAGTGAATAAACAGTGGACAACTGAAACCGTTACTTAGGCCCGAACTTCTTTTTGACGCTGTTTCTCTCTATTAGTCTGAACTCTAAAATACAAGACTATTGCTTCGGAAACAATTGAAAAACGCAACTGGCAGTAACAATACATCCATTGTGATTATGGTAATTTCATTGAATAGAATGTGCTGATCGCTGTGGATTTTTCTATTCCTATTGTTTAATGCAAAGGTTATCTTTAGGTCTTTAAATTGGTTTCACAGAATATTCGATTTAAATCTTCATAAGAATATGGTCAATTGAAATTGAAACTACATAAAGAAATCTATGAGCACCTCAGTATATGTTACAAAAGACGGAGCAGCGAAAGCTAAATATTGTATTAAAGCATCGTCATGCATACATAATTATATAACAGGGGAGGATTTCCAGGATGCTTTTTACATGTATAAATCGTGCTTATTCTATGCATGTTAAGTTTTGATAGTTTATTTGTTTTACTCTAAAATAAAATTTTAGTATCAGCCTATACATTACACATATACCCTCTGTGCAGTAGTCACCACTGCACAGAAGGTATTAGGGTATATTCCTCCCCAATGCGGATTGGCAGACTTCACTTTACTTTAGTGGATTATTCATTGCTTTTAAGAAAAATGACGCTGAGGTGGCATTGGCATCAGAAAGTATCGAGAATTAATTAGGTGGCATTGTTTTATGAGTACAATAATAATTTATTTTTTAACGATGTGTCGTTGTCATTTAGCCCTAGCGGTGCTCTGGCCGCTAATGGCTCGCTGCACTGTGGTTTCGAAGAGGGAGCTCCAGTATTTGGCGCCCTTCGGCACGGCCTCTTGGCTATGGGGCACAGTGTTCATCGACCGGGGAGCCCGTTCAGCACATTCGGTCCTCAACCAACAGAGCACCGCGGTTCGAGAACATAAGGTAAATAAATTTTTGTTCAGTTCCTACTTAGTGCTGAATAATGCCCGTATATGTGTAATTATTTATATATTTATTATATAGTATAATATATATTATATAATATACATTAATGACATTTTTTAATTATTAATTTTTGGTAAACAGTTACATAGTAGTGTGAGATCACTCTTACTGAGGGTCGTGATAGTTCACTGTAAACGTACGTACACATTTTAAAAGGACAATACTCGAGCAACCTTGGTTCAAACCTCGGTATTGCGATTTTAAGAGGTGGTTGACCACTTTCGTGGTAACAGTAACTCGTCGAAAGGAAACCTGTTTATCTAAGAAATAATATGTATCAGTTAGCAATTAAATAAAAACAGCTACATATTATAATTTTGTAGAAAAATTAAAAAAAAAACGCAAATCCTCCGCGGGAATGGAACCCACGTCTTCTTGATTCGCGCCCGGAAAAATTGCAAATGGCGACATCCCGCGTTCTAATTATCGTTGTTGTGTGACCAAAATGCGTGATTAATTATTTTTAAAAATTTTATATTATTGTGTGAGCGAATTCAGTCTATCTATATTATTGTCCAATGAATTTTCAGAGCTCCGAGGAAAATGGCACTTAAATAGGTCTGTTCTTAGATCGAAGATCAAATTCAAAAGTTTGGCATCGGTTAGAGCACGTGGACACTACTAACGTCAATGTCAACATGAGCATAATCCCTAGTATCCATAATCCCATAGTACGAAAAGATTGTCTCTTCACGTCTTCGGCATTCGCGGCCTGACGCTGTAGCCACTCAGCTAAAAGACCGATTGATACAACGATGAAAGTCTTAAGTTCTTTTATCTAAATTGTTTTTTTGCACTTAGTCGGAACTAATATTATGACCTTGATTTTTAGAAATTTTAATTTTTTATAGTGCTAATCTCTGCACTTAAGATTAAACATTAAGATTTGTAGAATAAGGTCTTGTAAAATGCTTCAAATGCTAAAAAACAATGTAGAATGTACATAAGAGACGTTAAGATTTTCGTCGGCGGAGCAACCAGCCGTTTAGCTTATTGGCTAAAGCGGCAGGCTGCGAATGCACGGGGGTTTGATTCCCACAGCGGCGACAATGTTTTCGTACTTTTTCTACAAATTTTAATGTTTAATCTTAAGTGCAGAGATTAGCACTATAAAAATTTTAATTTCTCAAACTAAGATCATAATATTAGATCTAACTAGGTGCTTTTCGCGTATATTATAAAAATGGAAGAATGTTTGAACATTTGATTTTAAAACGTATGTTTCTTTATGGAATATTTGAAGTCGGTTTGGTTTTTTGTTATTAAAATGTTTTACTTGTGAACTCTGCTGTAATTATCGTTTAATCTATGCATTATACTTACCTTTTGCGTAGTTGACATTCACACTAAATAAATATATTTACACGGAAGTGTTTCTGCGCAATAATCGTTGTGAGTTTTACGCTCTCATGTCATAATGTCTCAGTCTGATCCAGTTGTGTTTATCTCAAGTACAATACTGCGCAAATAAACATTAAAATTCTTTGGCTTTGGAAGGCCATGCGTTGTTTTCTGAACGCATGTATTCGTGTCAAAGTCGGTGGTGCCGCGGTCGTTCCAAATGCGTTTTCCTCTGGGTGTTTGTCGTATATCCTGCGACCTTGGCCAGGTGTGCTAGGATAGAACGTGTATCTGTTTGCGGGTGACGCAACATTGACTGTGCGCTCCGAGGGCGCGGCTGGGCTTGAAAATTTTGTGACGAGCAGATTACTCATTGTTTTGAGTCTTTAACAATTGTTGTTCACGGGTGTCGAAACGTTATGCTAATTGGAAACTAAGAATTTGTAATAATAAAGATAATTTGATGTTAAAGTAAAAATACTCATATTGAATTTTCAGCAATCAACTGAAAGAACATAGTTTTAATTACATAATCACAAATATTTCTATTGAAAAAATATATAAAATAAGATTTTCGGTATATTTTATACCTTTCATATATAGTAGATTTTAAGCCCAATCGAAAATTGTTTTAATTAGTTTCCTTGTTTGACTTTTACAACATCGGACTAGAAAAATAACGAGTAAGTTATTTTACTTTTATAACGATTAAGTTATTACTAGTCCCTGCCCACAAATTGACTTTTTTTAAAAAAAAAGTTCAATATAAATTTATTGTGGGTAATGTTTCGATGTCCTTGAACAACGCACTCAAATGTTATATATTAGGTACATATCAATAAACAGTCTACGACGACATCACTTTCATATTCGTGAAATTAACAAAACAACTTTTTAGGGGTTACAAGTACTATAATGTAAGAAAATTGTTGTAAATTGAATACTTTAATTATTTACTTTATTGATCAAGTGGGCTTTTAGGAGACTAAAAAATATTTGACAATGTCTGAGTTAAATGTAAAGAAAATGTTTGTTTCACTCTAATGAACAAGTCATGTTCTTAGCAATGAAACTTATTCTAATTGAATGCAAATAAGAAAGAATTTTATGTAAATTGTGGTTACATTATTGGTTTTTGTCTGCTTTGATAACGAGCAAAAAACAATTGTATAGATAGCCTTTCATTTTTCACTGTCATTTTCGTTCAAACATTAAAAGGTTAAGATCATTGATTGATCGGTATTTTAAAAGCAAAAACTTCACGTTTCTAAGAATTTTTTCAGATTTTTTTTTCATTTACGCATCAAAATAGTATTAAGTACCTACTAATAACATATTGTGTTGATAAAACTATAATTTATTGACCGAAATTTAAAATGTTCACTAGATATCTAAGTGTAAACGAATATGATTAATAGAAAAATGTTACTGCTCTGTTCTCTACATTTATATACGGCTTAAAATGATGACATAATGTTTTGTCCATAGAGAGTTTGATTTTATGTTATTAGTATTTATTGTGTAAAACATACTTATATGTTATCAGTTACTCAATATTTAAAATATTTAAATTGAAAACCTTCGTAAATTAATGAGTTAGTTAACAGATTTTGGATGTCTGCCACCCAATAAAGAATTTAAACGGTATATAAAGATCGCCACGTAATCAAAAAGAATATTGGAAAACTATTCTCAGGTGGTGTAGGATTAAGTCATAATGCTCCTCATTACCTAGTGCTAAATTTAGCTATGGCAATCATCCACCAACGACAGTAATTACTTTTCACAGTAAACTAGATTGAATGTGGACTCTACAATTTATGCCAATAAAAGGGTAACAATGGGAACAGACAGACATTACTTTGAGTTCGGATCTAATTAGGAGAACGTGTAGGATGGATTTCGTTCAAGGCTGAACATTGTTTTCCCAAGACCTTAATAATGCTAATTTTTTTTATCAAATTTCGCGTTTGAAATGCGTAATGTTAGCGTTTGAGATGTAGGATGTAAGTAGTTTGTTTTCCCAAGACCTTAATTATGCTAATTTTTTTATCAAATTTCGCGTTTGAAATGCGTAATGTTAGCGTTTGAGATGTAGGATGTAGATAGTTATATATTTGCAACATTAAATGGAAGCATGCGAAGTTCATCTTTTACCTAGTTATTTTTTTGTCATCTAATTTGTTAAATTGTTTAGTTAAAACACCATACCAACATATAGAACCGGAAGCACGTATAACAATGAAATGCTTATTTATCGCGTATTATTTTTGAAGGTCATTTTCACTTAGAAAATCGCAATTAAAATAATTTGTTAAAAGGAAAAAGGTATGTAGTAAAAGCCTTGTTTGAGAAAAACCAGACAGTTGATTATTGAATAGGATGAGATATATATACTATAATTTAAATTATTAATAATTATAAATAAATTACTTTAAATAAATTTACTTTAATAAATTACTCAATTTTGGTTTATAGAAAACATCAATACATAACAAACTCTATAAGTTGTATAATTGAACAAATATTTATTAATTTAATAGAATACTTTAAGTACTTTGCGTCATTAATAATTATAATAACTATTCAAGTCCTTGAAAAAACATATAATGGGGCTTAATATATTTTATCAAAATGTCCGGGGTTTACGTACAAAAACAAATTTATTCTACAATAATATTATAAATTCTGATTATGATGTTGTTTTCCTCACGGAGACTTGGTTATTACCAGGAATTTTCGACACAGAATTATTTGATCATAGATACTGTGTGTACCGAACTGACCGAGACTGTGAGCGACTGGGAATGTCCAAAGGAGGTGGAACCTTGATAGCAATACGCTTAGGTATTACAATAGAAACGCATAATATGGTTCCACCTCCAAAATTTCCTGATGCCGATGTTACATGTATTAGTATCATACAACACAGCGCCCCTAACGTTCATATTGCCAGAAGAGTGCGTTTATTTTGTTGTTATTTCCCTCAAAACCTCCATCAAGCTTCTTCACAGCAGTTATTCTATGAATATATTTCTGACATCGTAAATGATTATCCTAATGATAAGTTTTTGATATTAGGTGACTTCAATGTTAGTCATGCCGACTGGACGTGTTCGTCTTTTAGTCAAGTAACAAATTTCACAATTCACAATCCATCTAAAAACATATTTACTACTCAACTGTCATCTTTTATTTCCTATACGGGCTTGTTTCAATTAAATGGAATAAGAAACGCAAACGGAAGGATTTTGGACTTAGTGCTATCTAACGTTGAGTGTCAGGTATCGCGAGCAAAGCCCCTGGCCGAGCCAGAAGACATACATCATCCTGCGTTGTCATTTAATGTCGATGTAGGTTTTGTTGAGTCTAGTCTGCGTCCTGCCCCACGGATCGTACGTCAATTTCATAAAGCAAATTATGATTTAATTAATTTGGAACTTTCAACTATAAATTGGAGGGAAACTCTAAATCCCTATGATGTCGTTTCAGCAGTTCAAAGCTTTTATAAAATTTTAAATGAAATAGTTAAGAATTTTGTTCCTCATAAAACAGTAAGACAAGCTGATAAGTTTCCTGTCTGGTACACACGAAATTTAATTAAATTAGTAAAAAAAAAATTAAAGGCACATAAGCGATGGAAAGTCTATGGACGAGATAGTGATTATAAAATATTCTCTGATTTACGAAAGGATCTAAAAATACTTAAAAGTACTTGTTACGAGGAATTTATTCGACGCTCAGAAAACAATATTTGCCATAACTCTAAAAACTTTTGGTCCTTTATCAAATCCAAAAAAAGTAATGGTCACATACCAGACACTGTTTATTTAGATGATGAATCCGCTTCAGATGGTTTATCAATATCAAATCTATTTAATTCATTTTTTAAGTCTGTCTTCGAGTCTGAATATGAAGTTAATAATTTCGATTACTTTAATCTTCAAGCAAATAATACAGTTTTGAGTAAGATAGAGGTTGAAGTGGAAGCAGTTGAAAAGTACCTATCTAGATTAGATACATCGAAAGGTTGTGGCCCAGATGGCTTACCACCAATTTTTCTAAAGAATTGTAAGAAGCAGCTAGCTTATCCTCTAAGTTTGCTCTTCAACTTCTCACTATCGCAAGGGAATGTTCCAGCGTATTGGAAAAAGTCTCTTATCGTCCTATTCACAAATGTGGCGATAAACAAAATGTAAGGAATTATCGTGGTATTTCCAAATTGTCGACAATTCCGAAGCTCTTTGAAAAGATTGTTTACGACACTTTATTTCCAGCTATAAAACCTTTACTAATTAAACAACAGCATGGCTTTATAAATGGTCGTTCAACTGAGACTAATTTGAATGAGTTCGTTGACATTCTTCTGGTAGCTATGGACAAGGGACTTCAGGTTGATGCTGTGTATACTGACTATTCCAAGGCATTCGATAAAATTTCTCACTCCCTGTTAATACGTAAACTTGGGATCATCGGTATACACGGCGATCTGCTGAGGTGGCTGACTTCGTACCTTCGAGATAGAACTCAGGCGGTTGCTATTAAGGGTCACATATCGAGTTTTGTTCCTATTACTTCTGGGGTTCCCCAGGGCTCTCATCTCGGACCACTGCTTTTTAACATCTTTATCAACGACGTGATTGATTGTTTCTCTAGCTCTAGCTCTGTACTTTTGTATGCAGATGATACTAAAATATTTAAAGTCATTCGTACATATCAGGACTGTGTTAATTTACAAAAAGACTTAAACAAACTGTCAGACTACTGTTTACAAAACAAACTATTTTTGAACACTGATAAATGTTGTACGATAACCTTTTCCAGGAAAAAACAGACTACATCCTTCAATTACTCGTTGTTTAATCACACTTTGAGAAGAGTGTCTGAGGTGAGAGATCTAGGGGTTCAAATTGATAGTGATCTGTCCTTTCTGTCCCACTTCGAAAATATCGCAAAACATGCATATAAGATGCTAGGGTTTGTCCTCAGACAGAGTGTGCACTTTAAAAAGCCAGCTACTTTAGTTGTACTTTATAATTCACTTGTGAGGTCTCAGTTGGAGTACGCATCAACCGTATGGAATCCACATTATTCCTCACATATAAAGGTAATAGAAAAGATTCAGTCTACTTTTGTCAGGCGGATGAAATGCAAATTTGGTCCTGCTTTTACTTATAAATTAATTTCCCTTGAAAGGCGAAGAGAGTTAAGAGATCAAATGTTTCTTTTAAAATTAATTAAAAACTTTATTGAATCTCCCTATCTACTTTCAAATATTTCATTTAAGTGTCCCAAAGTCAACTCTCGTTCGAATGATCTGTTTTATATACCGTTGTGTAACACGAACTACACAAAAAACCGTTTTACTGTAAGAGTTTGTCGTAAGTATAACAAAAACTTCTATCGTATTGACATTTTTCGAGATAGTATAGAAAAATGTTTTGCCGCAATCAAAATGGAAATAAATATATAATCTGTAAATGTTGTTTTTCAAATAATTTAGGTTTTTAGTTTTGTATTTGTATCTTTTTTTCTTATCTTTAACATTTTTCTTTTTAAATGTAAATGCCGTTAAAATAAGATATTATAATTGTGTTATAATTGTATACTTCTGATGCTAAGTGTATAATAGCTAGTGGTGAAAACTTTATTGGCCCACATATCAGTGTGTATTTTGTACTATTTATTTTATGTAAGTGCTGTTTGTTTTCCTAATCAATAAAAATAAAAATAAAAATAAATATATATATGACATGGATAGTATATATGAATTATCAACCTCTCAAATTTTGTCTTATAGACCCGAGGGAGCAGTACCATTAGTGCTAATAAATATTGTTATCATTGGTTGAACCGGCCAGTTTCTTATCACATTAGGTTGATGACGTCTGAATTTGTTATTTGTGAAGAGAATGCTCATTGGAGCGCCTTAACAATCTCACAGAAGATGAACTTTCAATTTGTTTATGCATCCATACGCGATAGCTTGGCGCGAAAAGGTCGTCCCTGATAGTGTTTTTCAACTGTGTATCGATTAAAATCACCTACATAACACATGCAAATGGAAAACAGAAAGTTTGCATAAATCTTCCTTTGTTCCTATCGTAATAAAATTCTAAACCTGCCAAAAACTGGCAAGTATGGTCTGCAAACTGCAATATATTTTTTTAGTATTTTTTTTTATTTTTTTAACGTTTTAGTTAAATTATCTATATCTAACGACCTTTTTTTTACTTCACTACTCTATTACTTATCCTTGATGGGAATCAATAAATATTCTTTTTCTTACATTTAATGTAAATAGTTTTTGTTTCTCAGAGGGGTGTTCGAGTAAACAAACATATTTGGCTCATTCGTTATCGTTTCGTGCTGTTTACGCACACAACTCATTAGCGTCGTTCGTAAATCAATAGCGGCCTGCAAATTCTGCTTAGTATTTGTAATGGTAGACGCATATTATTATTATTAATGGTAGACGCATTTATTTACAACGTCGAAGTGGCCTAGCTAGAAGTGCTGCGCTGTCGGAAACGATATGCTTTGACTAAAATGTAAATCAACGTGAGTTTTATAAAAATTGCAACTTTACGTCTTAAAGATGTATCGAGGTGAGGTTAACTACCTGAAGCCAAAGGCATTTAATTACAGAGGGATTTAACATACCACAATGCGCGAATACAATGGCGTATTAATTGTAAGCTTCGTGAGATCTTACAACTTCTACATAGTTTCCAGTGTACCAGGTTGCTTATTAATGGCTTTTTGTTCCTCAAGTGTTTGAAATTACAGACTAGGATTAAATCGAGTATAAAAAAATTTAATTTACGAAGAATATTTTTCCATGTTAAAGAAAATAGTGTGGTCATTGTCGCTTTACAATGTAAAACACCAATATTTTTTTTCTTCACCGAAAATACTTTAAAGTAAGCAGTTGAAAATACAAATAAGTAATAAAAGACGTTGAAATATGACGATCATTACAAAGCTTGTTTGCTTTTATAAAAATATTGATACGAGTTATACATAAATGAAAAAAGAATCATCAAAATTTAATTTAAAACGGGTTTATTATACGATAAAAATTTTCCTATGTATTTCATTAAACATGTTCTTATTTTCTTTAAATATCATTGGGACTTAAACGCAGTGTCCACAAAAAACTAAAATACAAACTCACCGTATATAGTTGTTTTTATGACAATTACATATTTTTATTTTATCTTTTTTGTAATAAGTTTCGAATAAGCGTTTTCGCCATTTAAAGATAACTCACTACAATATATAACACTAAATAATTCAAGGTCCTACATTTTTAATGTGTTATAGGTTATAAGGTGAGAGTCAGTACGATAATTATCTCTATTTTTGGATATAGTGGTTTTTGGTAAGGTTGAAATGAATAATACTGTTTTCAACAGAAAATTATGCAAATTTTTTTCCTCGTCGAGATGTGTACGATTCTCCTTTACTATATTGTATGACAATTATTTGCGAAAACACAGTTGCTGTTGTTCTAGAGAATTATAACGCCATTTACCTAATGAGTTTCTAACGATTACGTCAATGCATTTTCATTGGTGTAATTTTCTCCAGTGAATTCTTTTACGGTGGTAGGGCCACGAAGCAGCCTCGGCTGTTGCACGAATGGGCAGACTCGTCCGGGTAAGTACCACGACCTCACAGAAGACCGACGTAAAGTGGAAGTATACCTAATACTGTCGCGTTTCGTCGTGTTCCGGTGGCCGGAGCCCAATTTTCAAAAGGTTGTCAACGCATCTGCAACCCTCGGGTGTAGCAGATGACTATGGGCGGTAGTATTCACTTAACATCAGGTGAACCGTCTGCTCGGTTGACAACTTTTCACATAAAAAAAATGTCGTATCTTAAGTTTAATTTGTGTTCTCTTCTAGCGTAAACTTCTGCTGTTTCCTGAAGGCACACGGCATCTGAGCGACAAACTGTTGCCCTTCCGTAAAGGCGCCTTCCACGTCGCGATGGACGCGCAGGCCCCCATACAGCCGGTAGTCGTCTCGAAATACCACTTCCTGGATGCAGACCGTCCTCGCTTCGATTCCGGTGGGTTTTAGAATACAAAAGATAACTTATTCGGACAATAGTACAAGGTCACTAGCGCAGAAAATGATGGTTTAAACAAGTATAAGAACACGAAGAACTGTTTGCCGCAGTAAGGCCACGGGGCAGCCTGCAAGAATGTCTAGGCTCGTCCGGGGATGTATTACGGTGGCGAAAAGTGGAAGATTCGAGAAAGCTTCTTTCGGTGAGTAAAGTAACGCAGGTCCAGTCTTTTCAAAGTTGGCAGCGCAACGACATCCCCAAAAGTTGTATTGACGTAAAAAAGGTTAACACTGATATGGTTGGTGCAATATCAAGCCCGTTTGTGTCAGGCCTATTTTACTATTTCCTACCCTTTATAGACGGATTATTTTGCTTTAAGTCTAAAAAAGAAAGACTATTGCACTCTGTTACAGCAACCTAAGTCGTTATATTGAAGCTAAATCGATCGCAGAATCCGTTGGCTAGCCAGAACCTGCGAGTTTGAACCGGCCCTATATGGGCGTGTGCTGGCGAGTGTTATCTTAATCGTGACCCCGATGGACGTTAACTGTATTTAATTAATTGGTGGCTAGGGGCGGTGAGAACCAACCACCTTCAACATGGGTGTACCTTGGTTTCGCCGTGCTTGTAGGCGAGAGGGAACTGGTTTTCATTGCAGACGATATGCAAATGTCGGGCTGGACCCCCGGCGGTGGGTCTGTCGTACTTGTATCTCCTTTTCGACCGGACAATGAGGACGTTGCGCCTTTATTAACGTTCGCGTTGATGTCGGGTTGGTAAATCGCTGCGTTTACAACAACTGCAACAACAGAGGCTTGAGATGGTTTTCGGCTCTATCGAAAAACCGTTTTCCCAATTTTAAAAAAAGGTTTTTAAAATATTCGCCTAGTTTTGAAAGTCTGCAATCGCTGAGCAGGTAGATGTTGCGTAGATAAAACTGCGCAGTGGTTGCGCGGTGGATGAAGTTATCTTCTACTACCCGGATTTTAGAGAATGAAGAGCCTATCGGAAATGAACGCCGCGCTGTTTCTAATATTTTTGATATGGGTGTCGATTTACATCCTTGAGTCGAAAGTGATTCTTACGAATTTACAGTCTTCTCTCTAGGGATCGGTTCGCCGTATGAAATTTTCCTTAACTTTATGTACTACTAGCGAAGGCGGATATAAACGTGTGGAGGTTAAGTGATGACTTGACCTTGGGCGAAATGTATTGTCACACTGATTAACATTCGGCTCTTCCTCTGCGGAACCACTGGAGTGGTCGGGACGCATTGAATTTAGAGGTTATTTTGTGCTTTCTATTGGAATAAAAAAGGACCGTGTCATTCACGAAAAAAGCGAAATTGGCATGTTGTCCTCTGGGTATGTCGCTCGTGTAGAGCGACAAAAGCAAAGGGGAGAGGTAGGGGCCCTTGAGAAACGTGATTATTCCCGGGCGCAATTGCCAAGGTATTGGCTTCGGCGACGGGGTCGACACACGCGACAACAATTTGTGTGATCGACAGATAATAGTTAGGATATGGGTAGTTGAAGTCTCAAGTTTGGGTACTAAGTCCCCTTCCAGAAATTACAATACAATACAATATAAAATTGTAATGAAATATCGATATGTAGGTACATGTATGTGGATATAAAAATTCGGAGGCGTCGGTTATCAACCATGACAGGGATATTAAGCACATTTTTTGATGTGAATTTTTTAGTTGTGTCATTTGAAAATGATCATCGGATGCGAAAATTACTGTATAGATTTTTGTTTGTTATGCAAAAAGTTGACCTAAATAGTAATATTTTTTTTTGGAAATATCAGCGATTGCTGTCACGTATATCTTATCTGGAATATGATGTTCAATGAACTATGGTGTGTGATAAGAGCTAACCATTGACTAGGTAAACATTGACTAGGTACATATTTTCTGATGAACGTTTTTATTATATACTTCATTCAAGCTTAAACCTTTGTATGAACTTTTATCCACTATTTTATTTTATAGATTTCCTGATACATACATTATAGATAGAAGCAACTTGATTAGCAGTCAGTCGGTTCCTCTTTTCATATCAGTTTAAGATACAAATAGAGAATAATATTAACTAATTTATGATAACCTTTTGCGTGGTATATGTAGATGTATTTAATATTCACTTACTAGTTTCCTTTGTCATATTAATTTTATTTAATATAGAGTGATATGTGAAACAATATTTATGAGATGCGAAAAATTAAGGGTTTATTGTATATGAAATATTAGGTACATATTATTTGTTATAAAATCTATACATATGATGCTTCGGCCCAACAGTAATGCACAAAAACATAATTATTTTAAGCTATTGCATAGCTTTTATCGCGAGCATTGGGCGCGGCGACCGCATCAAGAAATTCCGTAACGAAAATAAAACCTAACACCCCCCACTCCGCCAACCATGTAGATCGTCGTTCGCTTAACTTGTATGTATATGGTACACTGTACGAAGCTCGCACGGATGGATATTACCATATGATATTTAGAGGGTATCAAGTCTCAAACTTATGTTTCTTATTTCAGTTACCATAAACCTATAATTTCAATGATAAAAATTCCTGAATAACTTACATGTATTGTAAGATAATAAAAATATTTTAAACGACTTAACTCATTTATTCAATTAAAAAAAAAAATGTTTTCTTATCGGTCACCACGCTCAAAAAGTGTAACTTGAATTAAAACCAAAGAAAAAACTTGAATTAATATAAAAAAAAAATACTGCATAAATATAAAATAAATTAATATATAGAGTTGCATAAGTTGATAAAAAATGATATGCATTAGCTTTACCGCGGCAGTCCCCGAGTGTTTATTTTTATTTTTAGTGCTAGCTTGCACTCAAGATGGTATACACAGGTTCGAATCAATTCATTTGCTCAGTGCGGGTTCGAATCCTGGCAGATAATTAATCTACAGCAAATTTTCTTAATCTATTTATCATGTGCTGTACGGTTTACATATATAAATCGTAAAGAACTGCGTTAAAATTTTACTGTTATAATATGGAATATTGCATGAATCGTTTTCGAACGTATGGTGTTATCTGCCTTCCGTCGTATGGAATGGAATATATATTTGGATAAAATAAAAAACGTATCTCTTATAAGCAATAATGCTTAATTTCAGGTGAAGTCATTGTAACAATATTGCCAGTAATTGAAACGAAGAATCTAAGTAAAGAATACATTCCGGCGCTGATGGAGAACACTCAGGCTCTGATGCAGGAAGTATTCACGAAAACCTCTGCTGAGACTAAGGCGAGGCTTACTATTCGAGAAAAGGACAACTAGCTAATGTAAGTAGAAAGTTGCATTGCGACTTACCTATATGTTACATTAGAGTATGCGATTATTGTAATTAAATCGAAATAAATGCGTCTTATGCACCTACGGAATAGGATATAAAAAGTAATATATTAAAATGCTTATTGTAATTTCTCATACAAAAGTACAGTTAATAATGTGTATAATATAACAAGCTACAAGTGAAATTGTCTTGTTTCAGGTAAAATAAAGCAAAAACGCGTTTAAATGGGGCTGTGATATGTTCATACTTTTGTGGTATATTTTAAAAATGTTTTAAACAGATCATGTATTTACAATGGATATCGTATTTTTTAAATAAAATAAACTAAGGAAAAATTAAAACATATTTTTCGTTCAATCCTCATTTTTATTGAAAGAGGTTGTTATGAAAATGTTGGAAAAATAGACGAAAATACATTTGATACTATGTCAACCATAGGACACGGACGCCATAAACTACATCGTATTATATATCACAATACTTTATATAAGCATTCGTAAAGAATATGACTTATAAAATATTACATCGATCGATTATATGGGTACTTACATTTCTACAATATTCAAGAATAAAATAAACTTAATAAACATAGACAAGTACCATTTAAAATTTAAAATCGTAAATGCTTTTGTGTCTCCGGTCATCCAACGAAGCAGGAGAATATAAGTAACTAGTTATGAATTGTGTGGAACTATACAACGTCAATGTTCTATTAAACTCTATTACAAAGTAAAGCCTTATGCAATGTTATAAATGAAGCTGGTATGTTAAACAATCATAGATTATGACGACAGGGACAAACTGCTGCAATGTATTATATTGTTTAAACAAACACATAATTTATACATGATGGCGATTGACATTCACCAAATTTTCATTGGTTTTTCTTTAATAGTTGTATATGTTATCGTACAACAAACACATCAGAAATATTCCAATAATAATTAGGCATTTTTTTATAAACGAAAGTACATAAATATAAAATAGTTTCCTAATCCAAAAACCTGTTGTCAAATCATTCATTAACTCAATAAAGCTCAATCTTTGGAATAAAGGTACTTCAAATTTCATAACGAATTTCCTATCTTTAATTCAATTGTATTCGTACAAATTTCAAGGATAAAACATACTAAATTTATTTGTTAGGTACATTAAAGAGTTACAATTTATAATAGTAAGGGAGCCCAAGCGGGGATTTCGGTATTTACTCGAGCGCGGCAGATTAATATACAGGGGGATACCTTGTACCCGGTTAAGTACCTCCACCAAATATGAGCCCCATATATAAGGCCGCCCGTCAAGGATAAAGGATCAGATTAGTAAAAAAAATTGATCATCGGAAATTCTCGAGCGCGTTAGATTAAGGTAGGGTGAGTTAATACATGCTAAAAAGTGTATATTCCACTAATCTGACAATTTGAGAGTGACGTAAAGAAATGGGAGTGAGATTTTATTTTGAAGGAAATAATTCAAGTATTAGGAAAAGTATATTATAATCTGACGATTTCCACAAGCCGAAGTAACAAAAATTAGTCGATAAAGTTTAATGCGTGCAGCTGCGTGATGCCTATATTCCCCTCTCCTCGTGTCTATTCCTCTCTCATTCTTTCTCTATCTATTACTCTCTCACTCCGTCTCCACTCTGGTTTCTGTTGCCGTGATGATTAATTAATCAATTAAAAAAAAAAATAGTCGCAATGGTAAAGACACGCTGTATATACACGAACTCTACTTAAAAATCATAGACTTTTTCATTTGCATGCAATTGCCTTTTCAATGAATTAAGTTCAATCAAATCTGAATTTTTTTTGTCAGATTAGGCGTATCCCTCTAGATAATCGTCAGATTATGAGACAGCACGTCTAGGAGGTAAAGAAGAACCATATATATCTTAATCTGACGCGCTCGATGATTTGAAAATGGCGTTTTTTTTGCACATTATAATAATGGCTGTGAGTTTGCGTCACATCGAAATTGTCAGATTATTGAATGAGAGCTTTTTTTGGGTTCACTTAACACCACTGCCTTAGAAAATCTAACGCGCTCGACTATGTTCATTGAACAGTATATTTTTACATATTTGAACATCTACTAGGCGCTCTTCCCACCGATGAAAAGGTATACATTATATAACATTTTCTTCTTCTTATCAACTAAGCTTTGCAACCCAATAGGTCTCTATTACGCTCGAGTAAATCCCCACTTAGCATCGTGGGCTCCTGTACTATAACAGTTTTAACAGTAAAGTTATTATCTATGTATTTATTACAAATTTTGATAAGAACAGTCCTTATGTTTCACTAGATATTCCGTCTTATGTACTATATTCACCAAATGAAATAAAATGACCAAGACATTATTTGTGAAAATACCTATATAAAATATACAATTGTCTGTATACAAAAAATATAGTTTGATCACATTTCAGCTATTGCTTAAGTAACTGTTTTCATTAAGTTTTATCTGAATAGTATTAGATTTCTTTAATATAGTGTTATGAATACATATCACGCATATTAATAAATATGTGTGATACTAACTTTTTATTTAGTAATGTATTATCATTAAAGATTTGATAAAATTTGAATAACATTTGGACTTAGTTAAATGATGCTTGGATTTTTTTTAAATAACTGAGATGTTAATTTTTTTATGTGAAAATTTGACAAGCGAGCAGACAGTTCACCTGATGTTAAGTGAATATCGCCGCCTATGCAAATCTGCTACACCCGGGGGTTACAGATGCGTTAACAACGTTTTGAAAATTGGGCTCCGGCTACTTCACTCACCACACGAAACGCGAAAGTATTTGTCATGCTTCCACTTTACGCCGGTCTTCTGTGAGGTTGTGGTACTTACCCGCACGGTCTAGCCCATTCGTGCAACAGCCTAGGCTGCTACGTGGCCCTACCACAGTTGATAGATTTGAATGGTAAAATATATTTATTTAAATGAACACAGCTCAAAAGCAATAGCTGCCTTAAAATTAAAAGAGTTTAGCCAAAGCTATATGATACAATAACATCATGTTGAATTGTTCTGTAACAATTCTAGTCATTTTAAAGGCAAAGAAGCTCATGTTGTTAATTATTGATAAAAACGAAATAATATAACAAAAAATGAACAGCTGAAAAGGTATATATATCTATTAATATGCAATGTAACATTTTTTGGTCCCTATTAAAATTTGTTCATGAATTTTGTTACAACCAGTTCATATAGCACAATAATAAAAAAAATATTTCCATGCATACTTTCAAATAAAGAACTAGATTTCTAATATAATTAGTGCAAAGGGTCGATAAAACAAACGATTTTAAATTAAGTAACATTCTTAACCACAGTACAGGTTTACAAGTAAATTTCAGAACATCATTAAACTTCTTTCCTTATCAATTGTAAAATTCAATGACAACTTACAAAACTAAAATTACAAGAGATTATGATGTTATATAAATTCTTATGATGTATATTTTTAAAAATATTTGATATCATGAAATTTATATTTAAAATATTATACTGTACGTAAAATAGTTATTTACATGTCAAGAGCAATTTGTCTGTTGAGGCATCATTTAGTCAAGTTAGTTTTTGTTAACTTTTTTACTGTTTCAGATTTAACTGTAAACTGTAACGGTAGTTTATTGATAAACTAATATAGTTGATCTAAAGAAACATAATTTTAAAATTGCGAAAGACATTACCTTTATGGGATTAAAATTTTCTGATTCTAATACACGCTGTGACCAAAGGCAACATGCTTCGTATTCAAGCTAGAAATTAGTAGCAAGGTATTGTTATAAAACGTTTATGTGACAATCCGTCTAATGTTCTAAAGTAGAAAAAAAAAATTAGTGCAGTTACAAAAGATGTCCAAAATAAGTTTCTTTTTATAGTTTATAAAATACGAATCAGGAAATGCGTCCAAATGCGACTAATATTTATGAATTATACGTAAACCACTCTACTTTCAAAGGAAATGCCGTACTAAGTAATAAAATAAAAGTAAGTAAAACATAAAAGTAATAAATAAAAGGTCAAATTAATTGTTAAAATATTTTCATGTAAGAACTCTTCTTTCAATTAAGATGTAGCTTTTATTCAAGCCACATTCGAAAGCATTCATTTCGGAATATTTACCGATGATTGTACCATCAGTACAGCTTTATCACCTTGATAAGAAATAATATAGACTAAACGGGGACCTGCTGTGTGGTTGATATGCCTATCGAAAAAGCGAATTTTGTGGGATTTGCTCCTAAGGATTAATGATATTGTAATTATTTCTACAATGAGATCCGACGCAACTTACAACGTATATTAATACTTAAAAATGAATTCGCTAATACTTTCTTTGGGTTGTCTGCTACCCCAGCCGTTTGCAAAATTATTCTATTGAATTTTCTCGATTGAAATTGAATGATTTAATTATAGAATGTTTTCCTTTAACTCTTTACCGCGCTGTGTATTTAACACAGGCACTGTATATTCCGTTTCATTATTTTAGTGGTTATGCCAATAAATTAAATTATATATCAGTAGAAACCGAGTGGTCAGTACCATAGGCGAAACTAAAGTGTTATGCAAAAGAAATTATCGCGACTACAAAAGATTAAGGTTAACATTAATTAAATCATTTACAGTTTTTAAAGAAGCGCGCCGGGAAACAAAATGTCTTAATTTCCTTAAAATGTGAAAATTATTCTACTAGCAAAAGCATATAGAAAATCAGATCATTAGTATTTCAGTTTCACAAATGTCATCTCTATTTTTTAATAATTTAAGTGTGAAATAATAAAGACTTGTTACGTAAATTAAGAAAAAACAAAGAACTTCATTTGTTATTCATATTCCAATTCGGTAAAGGTGTTCGGTGTTCGGTGGTCAGAAAATAAAATTAGGATAAATATAAAAGTTCTAGTAATATTTAAATTAACAATTTAATTTTTTCCGGCAACGGGAATCGAACTCAGGTGGCTCGAGTATATTGAATTAAAAGCGATCGTCCGGACAATAAGCTATCACGGCTCTTTTGTGTATTTATTCTGATTTAATTTTAGGTATGCACTTAAAATAAAAGAGATTCTAAAATATATCTTAGTACCCAAATACCATGGTCAGACATCTGTTCCTTATTTTATTATTAATCTTACAGATTTGAAATATAAGCAATACAGTATAAACGCACTTTGTGTTCCATTTTG